CCCCCCCCCCCCCGTGTCTGTGGGTGCAGGGCAGAGCCAGGACTCAACCTGCCCCAGATCTGGGGGGCAGGAGAGGGGCATTGCCCCTTGCCCGGGGTCCCTGCAAAGCTGCTGCCTTGCAGCTCCTGGGTGCCATTGCTTGGGGCTCAGGGCAGGCGGCAGCATCCCTCACTGTGGGCGCTCAGCCCTGCCCGGCCTTTTTCCTCTTCCCAAACCCAGCTGCCTGCAGAGCTCACCTGATCCCGCTTTGGCAGATGGCCATTTGCACAGAAATACAGGTCAGGTCGGGGAGCCAGTGTTGCAAAAACGCTGCCTCACCTGCAGGGAGCTGGAAAGCATCCAGACTGCCCCAGGCAGCATCTGCTCACCTGCCTGAGGCTCCTAAGGCAGCGTTGCTTTCCTCCTAGCAAACCCCAGTTTGCATGGGGTGTGATGGGGAAAACGCTCTCGTGTTGTTTTTCCTTGCAGCAAAAGCCCCGTTTGGAAATGCTCTGGCCATGCCGAGGGGGTTTAAAAACCCTGTCCAAGGGGCGGGTTTGTGGGATGAAAAGCAGCTGTGAGATTGTAGCAGGGCTGCAGAGAGCTGCTGGCCACGTGGCAAGCAGGGGACAGCATCTTCTCCCTGTCCCCACCCTGTCACCCCATAAAAAGGGGCTCCAGGCCAACCTCTTGTTCCCAGCAGGCCGGCTTGCAAGGATACCTGCAGGTCCCAGTGCTGCCCAGTGCTGCCTGGCCCTTGGGATGTCGAGTCACTGGCACCAATGGTGACTGCAGCAAACAGGTGAAAAAAATGAAAGGCCAGGTGTCGTCAGCCCCTGGGAAGCTTTGGGGAGCCCTCCTAGTCCTCTGCATTAAATAACTCTCGGCTGGGTGGGGGCTTAAATACAGCAGCTCTGGATTCACTCTGGAGCAGGATGTAGTGGCTGTGGGGCACCTCCAGCAGCTTGCTCCAGCCACCCAGTGCCATCTGCTGCCGAGTTCTGGGGAGATGGCTGCCCCATCGTAGCCATGTGATGCTGATTCTGGTGTTTGAGGTAGTTGCAGCCACTCCACAGGGCATGAAGGTGGCCATGTCCGAGGTCCAAGGGCAGGAAAAGGAGCTGGTGGAGCATGGCGAGCCTCTTAGATGCTCACCATGTCTGGAGGGGGCTCTGTGCGGAGCGGGTCCAAGCAGGTTGACCACCACAGACATCCAAAATGGATAAATCTGCAGGAGGAGCTGGTGATCGTGGTCCGTGCTGGTCTCAGAGCTACAGCCTGAGGAGGAGGGATGTTCTTGAGGTCCAGGACCAGAGGTTGCATCCTCTGAATTACCGTGTTCTGCATATGAGGCCTGAGGTCAGGCAGGGATCTGGTATTGCCTTGGGTGGAGGGACCCTGGGGTGGCCTGTGGGGACCCAGCCCACACCACAGAGACAGCACCGAGGATCCAGTTTGGCTGTGCTGCACGATGAACCCAGCCACGATGTGTCACCCCTGGATGAGCCCCTTCTGATGCCATCAAAGTCCTTCATCCTCCATGGGCCCAGAGCAGGACCAGACCCCACCATCTGCCTGAAACCTTTGGGGCTGGGATGTGGGGGTGAGTGCAAGAAAAACCTGGGAGGCTTGAAAGAGCCCCTGGGAAGATACTGAGATGTTGGTGTCTTGGCTGGTCACATCCAACCATCCTCATGCCCTGGGTGACAAAGACATGTCTCCATCCCCTCCCTGCTGTGCTGCATGAGTGTGAGCACTGATCCTCTGCCTCCCTCCTGCCCCCAACGCAGGGGGATGGAGGCTGTGGGACTCACCCAGGGATGGCATTTTCTGGACTGTTATCACTTCTGTGTCCCGGCCAAGTTGCAGGTTGATAACCTCAAGCAACCAAAAGTCCTGACCCAGGTCCCCTAAACGGTGAGTTCAACCAAAACCATGTCTTTGGGGCTTGCTTGTTTTGTCTCCTGCCTTTTATGAAACTTTTGTGGCATCAGGAAGATACTGAGCTCATTAAAAAGAGTAATTGGTGCATCCCCTAGCCGCTTGACTGCAGGGTCTGGCTATTCGAGCAGGTTTCAAAGATGCTCAGGGGTGGTATGGGCTCGCAAGGAAGTGTCTGCAAACCCTCTGTCGATGGGCACTGGGAATGTTTCCCAGCTGAGTGTTGCCTTTGCTTTTGCGATTTGGTCTCCAATTTACAGTAATTGGTGCATTTACAATAAATGAGTGTTTTGTGCCCATTGCAGACAAACTACACCACTGAGAGTCACTCCTTGCACTTTTAAAGTGAGTTTCTGATATGCGTGGTTGTGGAAAACACACACAGGGTTTCAAAATCCAGGAAGGACCAAAAAAAGCCCCAAACCAGATAAAAAAAATAGCTCCCAAGCTCCCAACCTGCAGAAGGGTTATTTACTGCAGCTCTTTCCTCTGCCCGGCCAGGATGAATCCCAGCAGCTCTGCATCCAAGAGGCTGATCCTAAAGGAGATCATGACAGGTTTTACTCCCAGTTTGGGATGTTGCCCAGCTTGCCACGCACAGGGATGTGCGTGCGGAGAGGACAAACCCATCCATGAGCTGGCAAAGGGGTTTCTCCAGCCATCCTGTCCCCTGCGCGTCTGCCTGGAGGGTCCTGCTGCTCCCAGCAGTGCTGGTGACAGATGCCTTTCTGTTGCCTTGCCTTTTTGCATTCCCACTGCAAATGCTGCTCTTGGAAGGGATGAAGGATGATGATGTGTGAGGTCATGCTCCTGGCTAGCCCATGGTGCTGGGATGCTGTGGAGAGGGGTCATGTTGCAGCCCAGCTTGGCTCCCAGGGCTGGTGTGATGGGGAGGTCTGGTGGCGGGCTCGGTACCTTCCCCCGAGGAGCAAGACCTGCCACCAGCCTGGTTTTCAAGTCAACCAGATGCTGTTGGCAGCCCAGGACACCTCAGCCCTGCTGTTGGTGTCTGTAGCTTTTTCTAAGCAGAGACGTTGGGATGGCGAAGCCCGCGCGTGCGGCAGGGAACTTCTCAGGGTGGGAGTCACATAATTAGCCCGTTTCATTGTGTCAAGGGCTGCCTCTGCCTCACACGGGGTCCCCCCCAAGCCCCCACTGCCGCCCGCCCCCCCTCCCCCCCTCCAGGAGCAGTGGCACAGGAGGAAGGTGCCCAGGTGTGGAGCTGAGCTCTGGGCAACTCAATGCATGGTTCACCGGAGAGGCAGCTGGAGATGGCATGGTAGCACTGTTTCAGGGCAGGTACACCCCCAGGTGTCTCTGGCTGACTTTTTGAGGTGAGAATGCTCCTTTTCCGCTGTCGCAGGAAGGACGGATTAGCAGCTGGCCCCAGGGGACGATGCTCTGGGAGAGGAGGCTTCACCAAGCAGGGAGGAGATGCAGGAAAGGGGTTTTCCCCCATGCTAGAGCTCACATGCCTCCAGAAACTCCTTCCTCAGTTATCTGCAAACCCACTCAGCTGTTTGCTTCCCCCACTAGATGGCCTTTTATTCTCCTTAACTCCACCAGCACTGTTAATTCCCTTGGCTTCTTGCTTGCTCTGATCTTCTCTTTGCAAGCTTGCCTTCTGCTGGGGTTAGAGAGGCACTTTAGGTCCAGAGCTGGGTCATGGAGGCACTTTGGGGCTGGAGCTGGGTTGTGGAGGCACTTTGTACCAGATTTGTTTGCAGGAGTGAATGCCACATTTGCAAGATCGTGGGGTGGGTGTCCTCATCCTTGGGGTGTGCTTCAGACCCCGCTGGGCTGGCGTGGAGGGTGCTGAGCACAGTGGGCTGTGCTGCAGCTCTGGCAGTGACTCAAGCACCTTCCCCAGGCCCTGTCAGGGAGCAGGGCTGGCTGAGGGAGCTGGGCTCTGCGGGGCTGGGAGGCAGACAGAAGCCTCAAGCCACCCAGGACACGGTACCTGTGACATGGTGAAAGGGTTGACCCTTTGACATGTAAACAGCCCTCCATGGCTGTGTAGAGCCAGCTCTTCCCTGCTTTCATCCATCCTCAAAATGTGCCCTGGCACTGGAAGAAGAGTAATGTGCTGCTCCTCTCCCGTTCCCACCCTTGGAAGCTCTCCCAGGGCTGGGAGCAAGTCCTCAGGGTCCCACACCAGCACTGGGTCCCTGCATAAAGCGAGTTCTGGCTGCTGCCATGTGTTGGGTCTGCAGGTGCCTGATGCCTGAGAAAAGGAGGAGGCAGGGAGGGCTGGCTTTGTCCAAACTAACCTCGTTCATTACTCCTGGGGATGTAAATACCCCTTCCCTCATCCCATGGGCCTCACCAGGCAAACCTACCCCCCAGGAGTGTCCCCGATGTCCCTGGGAGGCTCCGAGCTGTCACCAGCATTGATGTGATCCTGGGTGATGCTCCTGGTGGCTTTGGAGATATCAAGGGCCAGGAAACCTGGGGGTCAGCCTCCCATTGCTTGTGAGGGAGTCCAGGTGTCTGGCCTCTCATAAGCATTGTCTCTATGCCCCTCTAGCAGAAGATCAAGTAGCCCTGCTGTCAATGCAGATGTTGTCCTCAGTGCAGATGGCTGCTCAGGGACACAGCCTGGGCATGGGGAGGAGTGAGGGCAGCAAGGACCTGTGTGACCACTGAGGTGACATTGTGTTTCAGGGAGCCCCTGACTCACCATGACGTTCAAGCAAGCATCCATGATGGCCCCAGAGGCCACGGCCACCACGATGCCCATGACCACGATGGAGAACTCCACTGAGGCCGCGGGGCCGGGTGAGGGCAAGGAGGACATGTTCACCAAGCTGAGGGACAAGTTCATGAATGAGCTCAACAAGATCCCCTGTGAGTATCTGCCTCCTTTTCCAGGTATTACCCTCCTCATGACCCCACCACTGCTCTGGTCGCTGTGCAACATGTGGGACAGGGTGGTGGGGTGGCTGGGGCTGGGAGGGAGCTGCGGGGCTGACCACGACACTGGCTTTTGCCCACAGTGCCGCCCTGGGCCCTCATCGCCATCGCAGTGGTAGCTGGACTCCTCATCGTCACCTGCTGCTTCTGCATCTGCAAGAAGTGCTGCTGCAAGAAGAAGAAGAACAAGAAGGAGAAGGGTAAAGGCATGAAGAACGCCATGAACATGAAGGACATGAAGTCAGGCAACCAGGTGATGTCCTTCTGGACTGCTTGGCCTTGTCCTGCGCTTGGTGTTGTAGGACGATCCCTTTGGTTGAGTTATGAACCGTATCGGGGCACTCATAGCTCAGGCAACAGAGAGGGATGGAGCCACCAGGATCCTGGGATGCGACAGTGCAGACATGAGCCTGGAGCAGAGACAGCAGCACTGTCCTCTTCCAGTGCCCGGTGGCCCAGATGGGACCAGGCTCAAGGTGGCCTGGCCCTGCCAATGATTCACCTGAACAAGCAAAAGTTAATTTAATCCCTTGTGTCTCCCTACCTTCCTCTGAGTTGCCCTCATCTCATTGAGCTGTGCCTTTAGCTGAGAGGGGAGGATCACCAGGCCAAAACGCCCACCAGTTTGGGGTCCCCAAAAAGCCAATGCTTAAGAGGCAGGTGCTGGTGCACGGAGCAGAGCTGGGGCTGTCTCCCCATCCTGGGGTCCAGCAGGGAAGAGGCTTTGGTACCAGCAGGCCTGAGGTGATCCTGGCCATTTCAATGGCCCTGACCCAGGACTATTTGGAGGGAGTGGGAGGTTTTGGGCATCTGTTCCTGCTCTTCAGAGCCATGTGGGCACCATGGCCATGCAGGCAGGGCTGGAGAGAGATGAGCGCTGAGTGGAGATGCTCCATCGTACCTGCCCATCTGCACACCCCCGCAGTGGTGGGAGATGTGGGGTGGGATTCCCAGTGGAGGGCGAGGGCTGCCATGCCCTGGGGCTTGGTGGGGCCATACAAACCCTGATTCCCCACCTTGCCATGGGTGCCTTGGCGATGCTCTCTGTAACATGGCTCTCTTCACTCCTGGTGCTCTCGCCGTCCTCCCTCCCTGCTGCTCTGTCTGCGTGTTCCCTCTCCATCCTGGGATGCCCTCCATGGTAGGTGCCACCATGAGCCTCTTTCTCCATCATTGGCTTCCAGGGTGGGATGGGGGGCCTGGGGACATGTCAGAGAGGTGATAAGGAGCCAGGGCTCCCACCCCATGGACCATGGCTTGGAGAGGCAAGGAGAGGGGTGGCTTTGCCTTAGGAGAATTAGATTATATCTCTGTTACTAAGCTAATAAAGCCTGGAAATGATCCTGCTAAGCCCTTAGCACTGGCTGGGGGGGAGTATCCCTGCATCCTTTGAAGTAGGTTGCTTGCATGCAGCCACTGCCTGCAAGCACCAAAACTCCCACCACTGGAGCTGGTCCCATGTCCCGGTGCCCCAGGGCAGCCCCCCGTGCCATCTCGGCTGGACCAGCACTGGGGGCTCCCTGGCAGTTGCATTGTTGTGGGCAGAGCCGGTGCCACCCCAGGGCTGCTGTATTGATGTTTTATGTCCCCAGCATGGGAGTCTCCTTTCCCCTGTGGGGAGAACTTGGGTGTTGAGCTGCAGTAGGGTTGGGGTGCTGGAGGTCCCCAGTGGTGTGGGGACAGGGATGCTGCACTGTGACCCTGCAGCTTAGCCAGGCACCTTGACTGCCATTGCAGGACTAACAGGACGACGATGACGCAGAGATGGGTCTGACGGAGGGGGAAGGTGAGGAGGAGGAGAAGGAGCCGGAGAACCTGGGCAAGTTGCAATTCTCACTGGACTACGATTTCCAGGCAAACCAGGTGATGGAGGGGCTGGGGCTCAGCTGAGGAGGTAGAGGAGTGGGGTTTGCCCAGGAAGGGTATTTGAGAAAAGTCTCCCTGTTGGACCTGGGTGGCACAGGAGGGAGGGGGGAGCTGGGTGCTGTGCCACGGGGAGTCCTGTCTCGTGTTGGGCTGGAGATGAGCCCTTGGCATCTGCAGCATGTACCTGGGGCGTCTCTCTGAATACACCCCTGTCCCCACTCCAGTTGACGGTGGGGATCCTCCAAGCCGCTGAACTGCCAGCTTTGGACATGGGCGGCACCTCGGACCCATATGTTAAGGTGTTCCTGCTCCCTGACAAGAAGAAAAAGTACGAGACCAAAGTGCAGAAGAAGACACTAAACCCTGCCTTCAATGAGACCTTTACCTTCAAGGTGAGCCCCTTCCTACACACAACATGGGACTTTGTCTCCCACTCCCATCTTTCCCCCTGACTGTGTACCAGTCCCATATGTTGACCTTCACTGCTGGGAGCGGGTGGTCCTGGCTTGGGCTCCTCTGAGCCCATTGTCAGCCCGGTTGGTGGCCCTCTTTGTGCAGGTTCCCTACCAGGAACTGGGCGGGAAGACGCTGGTGATGGCCATCTACGACTTTGATCGCTTCTCCAAGCATGACATCATTGGCGAGGTGAAGGTGCCCATGAACACGGTGGACCTGGGCCAGCCCATTGAGGAATGGCGGGACCTGCAGAGCGGCGAGAAGGAGGAGGTGAGAGCAGGACTGGCGTGAGGCCCTCGGCCAGCTGAAACTCTTGGCCAGGGGGGTGAGATGTGGAGTGGCCATGGGGCAAGCTCTGGTTTCTGGGACATCCCGCAGTGCTCAGGATGGCAATTGCTGTGGAGTCACCTGAATATCATGGGTGTCCTGGCCATGAGTGCTGGGCAGGATCTGCCCTTGTTGTTCCCCTGTGCAAAAGCCTTTTTAAAACAAAAATGAAGAGTATAAACTTCTTGAGTACTGTGCTGGGACTGGCCTGCCCCAGACCCAAGTGATCAAACCCTTGTGCTGGTGCATGGGGTGCCAGCTCATGCCTGCATTGAAGGTTGAGCTGGGTTTGGGGGGACCTGCATGCAGGACTGTGTCCCAACACTGTGGTACAATGCACTAGCAAGGCTTTGATATCTGCTCCCTGCTCTGCTTGGCAGCCAGAGAAGCTAGGAGATATCTGCATCTCCCTCCGGTATGTGCCCACGGCTGGGAAACTCACTGTCTGCATCCTGGAGGCCAAGAACCTGAAAAAGATGGATGTCGGCGGTCTCTCAGGTGGGTGTCAGCTTGTGGGCATCCTCCTCCTGCCCTGCTGTGGGGATCTCAGAATCCTTTGTTGGGGAAGGACACAGGGGCTATTAGTCTCGCCGGGCTCAGGGAAGCCCCCTCCAGTGCCTGGGACCTCCTGCATCGGAGCAGCCCAAGGTCTGGCTGGGGGGCAAGGGGAGATGGGGATGGGATGAGCCCCCCTAACCTTAGGAAGGCCATATCAAATTTGGTCCACCACTGTGTCCAGGGTCAGGACCTGGGTGGTAAAAATGCTCCTTTGCCATTTGCTCCTGGTCCTGCTCCTCCTTGACTGGGGGCCAAGGACCTCAGTCGACAGCATATTTTATGCCAGAAGTCTTCCCAACTCCATGCCAGGGCTGAGCTCTCTGCCCAGGGGTCCTCAGCTCTCTCCAGACTTGCCTTAACCAGGAGAAGAGCAGTACCTGCACGGCTGGAAGGGTTCAGCTTTATTGCTGGGGTGTCCTGCTCCAGAAATGGGGGTGACAGTCCAGCACCCACTGCTGTCACTCCACTGTTCCCAGCCCTCCTACAAGAGGACCGACAGGATGCAGAAGAGCTCCATTCCTTGGCCAGTTGCTCCCACAAATCTTCTCCAGCCCAAATATTTTGGCTTTGGCCTCCATCCACAAACCTCAGAGCACCTTTACTCTTGGACGTCTCTTTACCCCATGGTGCATCTCATCCTAGGCTGAGACTTCTCCTGGGGGCAGGCTGGTGGTGTCCCCTGGGTATCTCAGCCCTGGCTCATGCACCCTCTTGCCCCCACCAGATCCCTACGTGAAGATCCACCTGCTGCAGAATGGCAAGAGATTGAAGAAGAAGAAGACCACAGTCAAGAAGAAGACCTTGAACCCCTACTTCAACGAGTCCTTCAGCTTTGAGATCCCCTTTGAGCAGATACAGGTTTGTCTGATGACCTCCCTGGGAGGCAGACAGGGTGGGGGCAATGGGAGAATTCCCACAGCTGCCTGAGCCCATGTCCCAGCCTTCCCAGCAGCCTGAGCAGCTCCTGCCAAGCTCCTGGTTTGGTCACCCATGAAATACATCCAGTCCATCAGCCTGGGGTAATGCTGAGGGCAGCTGGTGCAGGGGCAGAGGTGGGAGGCTGGGCAGCACCCATGGAAGATGCAACCAATGCACATCATGGCTGGAATGGGCCTTTCCTCTGCTCCTGGTCCTATAGTGCTCACCCCAGGCATAGCAGGGACCACTCAGTGGTCCTAGGGGCACGTTGGACCATTGGTAGGTGCCTTCTGCCCCTCCATGTCCTGCCCTAGCCCTGTCAAGCCCTGTAGCCCACAGCTCTTGCCCAGCCCCACACCACCTCTTGGTGACCTGTCCCAGGTGGCCACGTCAGGATGAGCTGGGCCCCACTGTGGCTCTGCAGGACTGGAGGAAGGAAGTGGAGGAAGCTATGGGCATGGAGGGGACCCTGCCCCAAAACGGGCCACAGCAGGGCTCAGCCTTGGGGGATCCCTGGGGTGCCCTGCTGAGCCACCCTGGGGCTGGGGACAGCACGGAGGCCATGGAGCAGTCATGGCCGCTGCACCTTTCTGCCCCTCTAAAGAAGGTTTCCTCCTTTAGAAAGTGCAAGTGGTCATCACGGTGCTGGACTATGACAAGCTGGGGAAGAATGAAGCCATAGGCAAGATCTTCACGGGCTGCAACGCCACCGGCACGGAGCTGCGGCACTGGTCCGACATGCTGGCCAACCCCCGGCGGCCCATTGCCCAGTGGCACTCACTGAAGCCAGAGGAAGAAGTAGATGCAGCTCTTGGGAAAAACAAATAGGAAGAACTGCCGGCCAGTGTGGCACGGCACTGCGGACAGTCGAAGCGACCCAGAGCTACTGATACCTCAGTTATGCAACCTTTCATTTTGTTTTTTTTTGTTCTGTTTTAAGCTGAAATACCCTTTGATGGCTGTGGAAGGATTTCCAGACAGTCCCAATAGCTTCCAGGGGAGGAGGTTAAAGATACGGATGGTTCTTTTGTTCTTCAGCATAGCTCCCTTCTGCTGCATGTCCCATCGCTTCTGCCTGCCATCCCTTCCAGGTGCAAAGCCACCATCATGCCTGGGACCTTCCCTGGCGGCCGTGTCACCAGCCTGCAGCATCGCTGCTGCCATCCTTCCCTTGGGTCCACGTGGGGAACCATCAAACGTTGCATGGAGTTGATACCAGAGCCTGATAGAGTGAGATGACCAGACCCACTGTGCTTGCTTGGGGCATGAACAGCTGTGTGGACATCAAAACAATGGAGAAGACCCTCTGCAGGAGACCCAGGTGCCTCCCCCTTGTGCTCTGCCTCCCTCCGTCTGGGAAGGGTGAGAGCCAATGTTTTGGGCCAAGGACGACCAAGTGCCCCCAGCCAGCTCCAGGTTTGGCTTCTTCTGGGGAGAGGTTTGCAGGGACCGTGGGGCCCAGCTGCGGCTGGTGTGGCGGTGGGGTGCCAAACCCTCGGTGTTGCAGCCGGAGCAGTGAGGGCCAGTCTGAGCATGGGGAGCCCCGGGGAGTCTGCTCTGAGGAGACACATGGTGGGATGTGCATGCAATGGCAGCGCAGTGTGGACCACCACCACCTCTGCTGGGTGGCCATCATGTCCCCAGAAGCCAAGCGAGGACAGCGCTGGGTGATTTGCATGTGTGTCCCACCATGCTTGGTTGAAGCCCATAGATCAAGATACTTCCACAAGGCAGGTTGACGCTGAGAGGTCTCCAAATGTGAGGGGGACAGCCCCCCAGAGCGGTGCCAGGTGCCTCCCCAAAGGCCATTGCATGTCCCCAGGGATCAGCCCCAGTGTAGGCATGCCAGCACAGCCTCAGGGCAGCCGGGGGGCTATGGGGAGCTCCAGCCCCACCACTGCATCCCACTGCCGTGATGCAGGTGGGGAGGGCGAGAGGGACCCCACGGCCAACAAGGGACCAAAGCCCCCGACCCCCACGAGCTGCTGCTCCCCGCCAGGCTGCTGTCTGCTGAATCCACCCCATCCTGCTCCCCTTGGGGATATAAGCCATATCCGTGTCCCTGACAGTGGGCAAGAGCTTCTCCGGGCCACCTCTCCCACCGTGGGACAAGCCAGGACCAAGCCCCTGAGTTGGAAAGCCAACATCATTCCTTGCAGCTGTGAGAGGGTCCGGCAGCCCTGCCCAGTTCAGCCCAGTCTGTACTGGAGCACCGACGTGAGCTGGCGTCCCTGTCCCAGCTCCGACTCCCCAGCAGCCTTGTGCTCCCTGCTCCACTTTGCTTTCCTGGACTCAGTTTTGTGGGGTTTTGGCACAGTTATGTAGCAAAGGGCATTGCATCTTCAGCCAAGAGGGGCTTACAGTGGAGAAGCAGAGCTCTGGGGTGCAGCTGGGAATGCCCCAGGCACTGGCGACGCTGCTCTGGGGGTCCAGCGCCTGGGCTGGAACCTCAGTGCAGGGTGTCCTGAGCCTGGGGACAAAGTGCCAAAACTGAGCTGGCCCTGGTGCTGCTGCATGCTTCAGCAGCTCCCTGAGGCCCCCTGCTTTGCAAAGGTCATCTCAGCCCCAGCTGAAGTTGGGGAGATGATGGAAAACTTGGTGGCAGCCACAGCTCATGGGGTTCAGGTTGGACACAGGGATGAGCCCCTTCCCCTGGTGGGATGTGCAGCTCTGGGACAGGTCCTCGGGGAGGGATGTCTCTGTCCTTGGGGGAGGTTCGGGGCCTGGTTAGCCAAGCTGCGGTATATGGTGGTGGTGGATGTTGGACTGGAGACCTCCAAAGACCACTTCCACCACCATCTCAGCTGCGCTTGGCCCCTGCCCTGGTGCCCAGCCCGGCTGCTGGAGCTGCAGCTCAGCTGGGTTGGGTGAAGGTGGCACTGGGGCCACTCCAGGCTACAGGGGCTTTGTGGGTCACCAAGTGAGTGGTCCCGCAGGGCCATCTCCAGCTTTAATTAGTCCCTTTTCCTAACGAATGCCTCAGTGTGAGCAAACAAGGTCCTGCCCTGCTCATGTAGCCAAAGGGAGAAGAAATCTCGGGGTGCTTTTAATTAATGGGGAACTGCGGGCGGCTGATGCCCCTCGGCTGGGACACTGGCAGGATTCAGGCTCTTGAGTCAGTCTCGTTTTGGAGTCTGTCTGGGCACTGGGGGTCATTTGCCTTACACGGAAATGCGTTAAAAAAGAAGGAATTGGAAAGAACACTAAAATCCTCCTGTTGGCAGCCAGCGCATGTGCGCAGCCCTGCAGCTTTCCTTGGGAAGCAAGCGGAGGTGTGCATGCACGCCTGCACGCATTCACATGCGCACACCCTCATGTGCACACCCCCATGTGCACCCCCCCACCCGCACCCCCCCAGACCCGCCGCATCGTCCGGGGTCTCACTGGGAGCGGAGGTCCCATCTGGCTGGTTTCCATTCGGACTCTTTAAGCCTTGGGGGGGAAACTGTGACTTTAATACATAATTTTTTTTAATAAAAAAGGGAAAAATAACCAACATATTAAAGCCATCTGCGCTGCCTCTGACCCCTCCTTAGTTGTGTGTAGTTAAAAATATATGGAGACATAGCTGTATATACCATGAACAGTGCATGAGATGCAGCCACATAGCAGTAGCAGCATGGTTAAAGCCGAGTGCACTCTGCCCCACCGCTCGCCACCGCCGGCACCTCTGTCCGGACCACGTTTCTCCAACGAGGCAGAGACGGCGATGAACAAAACTCATTGCTCGAGTGCTCTCCACCGCCCCGATTATCTTCCCCCGAATAAAAAAAAAATAAAATCATGTAAAAGAAGAAAATAATGCCAAGAAGCAAAGCATGCCAAGCCAGGCCCGCCAGCGGAGGGTGAGCCGTGACCAACGCAGCCGTGACTTCCATGTGTGTCTTGTTCCTGTATCTTGTTGCATTTATACCATGGCCGGGTAGCGGCAACATCGTGGCTTTGGCGTCCTGTGTCGCGTTGGTGCATTTCACCGTCAGAGCAACTTTAGAAGCCATATTAGACCACGGTGTGCTGGGACCCCATGGGGATGGGCCCACAGGTGAGCCGTGACCCTCTTCTTCCCATGTGCCCACCGTCCCCCCGGTTTCGTGGGGCTCAGCGGCAGAGCCAGGCTGCTAGGACAAGCCACATCAGCAACTGCCTCGGTGGCCACGGATGCCGCCGTCACACCGGGTGAGGGGACGGGGCAGTGCTGGGCACTGACGCCGGGGCCAACTTGCCGGTGACATTTCTGCAGTAGAAGGGCCGGAATGCAGCAAAGATCTGGTGGCAAAAAGGCTTTTGAGAGTGATTTGGGTTATTTCTGCCGTGTCTGGTCAGGTGGTTTCCGTTTTGGGGACAAGAGCCGGCATTCCCCTCTCCCGACTGCACCGTGGTGCAAACCCAGCTGTGCCATGGAGATGCTCAGCTTCGGTCTCCTGGGGTTAAAAGGAAGCAAATCTGCCAGTCTTGGCAACAAGCTGGGCTTTCTTTTCCTTTTTTCCCCCAAACCTGGGAGGGAGGAGCCAGCTCCTTTGGGAGTCCCAGGCTCAGGCTGTTCCTGGAGCGAGGGACTCCCTACACCGGCCCCACTCTGCCCCATCCTGGCCCCTGCAGCGTTCGGCTCCGGCGGGAAGCTGCTTTTAAAGCCCCTTCCTCTTGTGTGGACTCTGTCGTTTCCGTCTCTTATCGTTAAATGGTTATTTTGTAATGATATCTGTCTCCTTATTAAAGAAACAAGCTGAAAGGAGCCCCGGTTCCCTTCTGGTCTTGCTGCTGGGGCTCAGTGGGGCAGCCGCGGTGGGGGGCAGGTCCCAGGACTGTGAGCTCAGGGACAATGGAGGGATGGAGACACGAGGGGAACCCTGCAAGGGCCCAGGTCCCCCCAAAATACGAGTGTGCTTGCACACATGGTGGGGATGTCTCTGGGCAGCCTTGAGCCCCGGTGGCCCGGCTGAGCGTGGCTGGCCCAGACATGGGGTGCAGGTGGGAAGACATCAAAGGTCCCCACCAAATTCTTCATCCCCAACACATACAGTTTGTTCCATATATTCACGTTTACGTCCTGCCCTGCTTTGCAGAGGCGCTGGACACCCCTAATCCCAAGGGGAAGAGCTCAAGCTACAGTAACCACCCCCAAAGACCGAAATACACAGAGGTTTCTAGCAACCTCACTTGGGCCAAAGGCTCCAAGATACGGCACCAGCGCCCATGTCTTTGCTACAGGTTTGTCTTGCCCAGGCTTGGCACCATGGAGGGAGATGGGCCTGAGCCCCATTGTGGTTCAGAGGTGTCAGGTGGGACCCTCTCCCGTTTGCCTTTCTGGCTGGTGGGTGGCTGTCAGTGACGTGCATCCACAGTTCCTTCATTTGAGCTTTCCCTGAACAGTCACGCAGGGGAGCGTTGCCTTTCCCGTGCTGTAACTGCAGCAGGTTATTTCTACTTTTATAGATGATTGATACTGTCGTGCTATGGAAATTTTGGGAAAAACAGGGTGTTTTAGACTAAACAACTTGCACCTCCAGAAAGATGGAAGCAAAGCAAAGCTTCTATTTTATCAACTCTTATTTTATTCATTTATAAATACTGTTGTGTTTACAAGCATCATAGATGTGAATATTATTCCCAAACTTTCAAACACATAATACTTATAATACTATATAACAACAACCAGTAAAACAAATCATTCATCTCAGGGTTTGAAAGGCCACTCAAAAGTTGCATAAAAATACATTCTCTCCCCATCTCGTAAGCTAGTCCTGCTTCTCCAAGGAGTTTATTTACAAAGAGCCATCATCAAACTCACAGCCACAATAGGCGGGTTCACCCCAAGCAATAAAAATGAATTCACCCCAAGCAATTGCTTAGAAAAAAAGCTTGTGTTCTCCAATGGAGATCACATCTGGCAAATGCTCTGGTTCAAACAGGGATCAGTTTTAAAAACTGCTTGCTTTGCACTCTGTCCCAAGTGCAGAGTGCAAGGTGTCCTATTCGTTACCTCCTCAGTGCACTGGTTATGTCAGGCATTAAGTGAGACCAAAAAAATTAATTCTCAAGAATTTGGTTTACAATTGCATGTTCATCATGAAATACTCACAGCTTTGGCTAGTCAGCGAGACTAAACTGTTGGTGGGTCCTCTACCCTAGTCAGAGTTCAGGGGGATAATCCAGTGCTAAACAGACACTTCATTTAAAGTGGTTTGGCTTCGCAAGGTGCCACGCAGAGCAATTAAGCCTTCTGCACCCTTCACATACTGTTCCTTAGGATAAAATGCAATGAGTGTCCTGGTAGGAAGGGGCAAAATGTCAGTGCAGGATGGATTTGTCAGATTAGGTTGAACCCTCTCCCTAAAACAGATACCAGGCTTCTTCACACTGCCAGGAACCTGCCTCGTGAGAAGAACAGGATCTTTAGTCTGAAATCTCGTCCCTTGTCCTGCTGGGATGCACGACCCAAGACGCACGCGTTGGCACACCAGCGCTGCACCAACCACCAGCACCCCAGCAGGTGAGTGTCTTCTCCGCGTGGCACAGAAGGGACTGGACTCCTGTTTAGAGCTGAGAGAGCCCGAGTCTGAAGCAAGGAGTGGGTCACCAAGAGAAAAAACATCAAGAACCACAGAAGTACTCACATAAAGAGTGCACCAAGTGGGAACGGCGTGCAGAAAAAGCATTGACCAGATCTCAAGACTTAAAGCTGTTAAATATAGCAGGGTTAAAATAAAGTAATATAAAAAGGATGCCTGGCTTAGGCAGTGCTCTGCAGAAACCCTGATGCCATTACCAGCTTTGGTCTCTTCCTCCCCAAAGCACAGCAGCAGAGGAAGGGCCTCAGTGTACCAGGAGAAACGGCATCTCATGCCGTGCACAAACAGCTCCGCTGGCTGAAGAGTGGTGGAAGAGGAACCTCTGTCTAGAGCTGCCTGGGGAAAAACTGGCAGCTCTAAGAACAGCTAGAGAGGTGGGAACAGGCAGGACAGGGAGGGGAAGGGGAAAAAAATGGAGAATTAGAAAAAAGAAACAAAACCAAACTAAGGAAAAAACCCAAGGGAGAGAAAATAAACACTTTCTGAAGCAATAATCAGCAAAAGGTTCCAAAAAGCCCAGGATTGGCTGATAAGAGATAAATTTTACCCTGTTGAGCAAGCTCAAGAATTATGCTCATGTTCAAGTGTCTCATCTATCTCTCTCATAGCAGAAAGAGTCCCACCAGTGTGGCGGGAGCTGCAAGCCCACAGTCAGCAGAGGTGCCTGGGAACGTAGGTAGAACTTCTTCATGGCAATCTCCAAGTTCAATGACTGAGACTGCAACTCAGCCAGATGGAGCAGGGAAATCAAAGGACAAAGGAAATGAAAGGACAAATATGAAGGATGTAGATGGGGAAGTGGTTTGGATAGAGGAAGAAGTATCTGAGAGGGAAGGTATCGTTTGAGAGGAGTCTATTAAGGGGAAGCTTAACAGATCTGATAACAGGTTACTGCTGCTATCATCAAAATCACACAGCACATAGAGGAGCCACTGTCTAAATGCCCATAGAGAGAACAATTTCAAACTGTTCTGAGTATGTATAACATCAAGGAGGGTTTTTTTTTTCTGAGGTTTCCTTCAAGGTCAAGGCTTATTGCAAGCCTTTGACAGATTAAAAGACTTTCATCCCAGTGATACAGTTACCAGCACACCCAAGGGTAGCTCCTTCTCCCTTTGACACCAATGTACCCACACCTTTCCATGGCATGCGGGAGGACAAGTGATCACTGCTTCATGTTCCTCTGCCTTCAAACCCAGCTGTGTCAAGCTACTTCACCAACAGATGGGTGGGTGGGACTGGACTCTGGCATTCCCTCTCCCTACAAACAAACCAGTGCTGCCTTTCACTTGGTCAGCCTCCTGCTGCACATCAAAGCAAGGTACCTGAAATACCAAACCAGACTCCTCTGCAGGGCTGTGCCTTCATGAAGATAGCAGGAAAATGTCCCAGACAGCTGGTTTCTGGCACAGGCACAGCTCCCTACAAGGTGATTCACGCTAATATGCATGTGAAGGCAGCATAGGATCTCTAGGGGTTCAAGCTTGCCCTTCAGAAAGCTCGGCAAGTATCTGTGATACATCCTATGCCAAACAGCAAGAATCCAGATGCAGTCAGCAGACACTACTAACAGAGACAGGAGCCCTGGAAGGATACAGTGTGATACCGAATCACCCAGGCTGCAGAGGAAAGGCAGGGTGAGGGATAAGGGGTCTGATGCCGAGAGTCAGCTCTGATGTTACTGAACAGGTTCAAAATCTTACGTTAAATAAAAGACTCGGTCTACTGGGGCGAAAGGAGAAGAAGGTCTCTGTGCAAAGCAGCTGTAGTCAGCCTGTTACAGAAATCAGCCCTGGTGGCTTTCACAGCATCACATTTTAACCAGAGTCCCACATCTTGAGTGGGTTGATGTGCATCCTCAGAGTCCCAGCACATGTTCACATTTTCCACCTGTAAAGGGCTTGGATGTACTGGATTAGTTCTTTAGGTGTCACTTTTAAAAGTAGGAGCTACCTACTCCAGCCTGGAGTCCAACACCAAATACTGGGCTTCTGGAAGAAGTAGTTTTGGCAGCTCAAACCCAGTCCTCATGTTTCTCTTCTCCCTTGAATAAAATGTCCGAGATACCACAACATGCTTAAATTAAAAATAATAAAATGGCAGGGGTGTGTGTTGTGGGGGAAATAAGGGCAGAAAGGGAATGTACAGCAAAGGGCAGGGCAAGGCAGGTGTGACAGATTGATCCCATGGCTGAAATGCTTGCTGTACTTGACAGGAAAAAAAGAGAGGGGTAGGGCTTGGTGGTGGGGTTGGCAGCTTGCATAGGGCACCCCTCTTCATCCTGCCTTTGTTCAGGATTCCTATTTGGAGAGCTTGCTGATGACACGAATGAGGGCTCCGTTCTCGTCCTTCAGCCTTTGGTTGTCCGACTTCAGCTCTGTCAAAATCTGTAGAGAGAGACAAAGACAAGATGGGATTACAGCTCAGCGCTGCAGGCTGGACAAGCCCTATGGCTCACAGGGAACAGCAGGGATGTTGCATTCCCTCCATGCAGCACACTTTTAATGTTGATAATTTCTCCATAATGTCTCCAGAATTTTTACAAACTGGCTGTGAGGTGTGGAGGGGTCAAGAGGGTACTTGAGCACAGCAAAGAGCCGTGGAGCCCCTGGAGCCGGGAAAGCCCTTGCTGAGAAGCAATGCCACAGCCCCAGGGTGGGAGGGCAGGAACCATTTTTGAGCTGTTTCATCCCAAACCTGTTCCCAGAGGCTAATTAGGGCTCGGCAGAAAACTATAAAGCTGGTTTTCCTGATGTGGTTTTTTTCCATTTTGCCAGGACCAGAGGGGAAAACAAAGGTCTATAATTGTCACTCAGGACTGGACCTTGCAAAATCTCTTTAGAATAAACCCAAATCTCCTTGGGATCCCACAGATGTTTAATTCAAGTACGCGTGCCACGGCCAGAGGACTCATAGAACATACTGACACTGGAGATACCTCCTTGGTGCTCAATTTTGAATGCTGAAGCTCAACCAAGGGTTGCAACACAGACAAAAGCCAGAGCACTTTTAACTGGAAATAGAGGAAGAAATAGCTTCAACAAGAGCTTTGCAGCATTTCTCACTGGCAAAAACCCCTCCTGACTTCTCTTGCTTCCCACGCTGCAGGCAGGTGACCTTCAGTGGACTGTCCTCTGCCGCTCGGGGACTAGAAGGAGACCCCGTGTTCCTGTCTCGGGGTGCGACACAGAAGTTGTAACTCGCACCATGGGTGCCAGCAGCCCCGATGGTGACCAGCCCCGGAGCCTGCTGGAACAAGCCAGGATGGAGCTGGGTCACACGCAGGCAAGAATGGCACCAGTATGAGCTCAGTGATGATTTCTCTCTGCAAAGGTGGATCTTAAGAGGAATTCCTCCAAATTCAAAATCCCCACTAAACCTTCTCCTTCCTCCTAAGCTGGAGTTTCAGCTCTGACCACAACCTTCTGCCCGTTCCTCCTATCTGCAGCCCCTCCATGACCACCGCCACCGAGCGCAGCAGCTCCTGGGGCAGACGCCAGCTCCCACTGCTCCTGCTAGGGCAATTCCCTCCTTTCACAGTCAGGCCAAACCGCACCTGGACCCAACGCACCTAACCCTGTCCCCGCTGGCACTGGTGGTGGATACTCCAGACAGGAGGTTTTGCAAGAGAGAGAGAGGAGGGGGAAAGTGCAGCATGGCAGGATATTGGGGAAAGGGTAAAACTATGTGATGGGCTGGCCGGAGCTTCAGCTAGTGATGCTTAAAAGTGTCTCACCGGACCCAGTGGTGGTGCGACAGGCACATCTCCATGACAGGGCTGCCACCAGAATAGCAGTCATGACTCCTTATGCCATCTCTCATGGCCAAATGAGAGGCATCACCCATCACCAAAGTGCTCAGGAACCCAGAGAAATGGGGAGAGCATTTGCTGTCTCACTCGGCACTCCTCTGTTTCCTCCTGAGCTTCATCTAACACCCACAACACAGCACGGTGCCCTCCAGTCCAGTGCACTATGACAGTTCAACCACCTATTGGGGTCTTCAGATGGACAGTCCATGTCCTCTCTACATCACTGCTTGGGGTGGCCTTGCAGTCCTGAATGTGTCCATCACTGCAAATGAGTTAGTGATATGAAGTTCTGCCACTTGCTTTGGTAGAGATAATCTGTCATAGGCTCCCAGAAGCAACATCATAGAGAGCTTACTGGAAGCTCTGATCGTGGCTATGCCTTACACACATGCTTCAGTGCAACTTTGGTGATTTATTCAAAAAGGAAGGAGCATAAGTACATGTAAAGCAAGTGCTTCTTGAAAAGTTTCCTGCTGTAACCCTACTCCATCAGTTTCCAGTGAAGTTTTCTGAAAACTAAAAATCAATGTTGCAAAATTTCATTCCTCCCAGGCCAAGGGCATTCCTCCCTTCGAAGCAAAGCACCCTCAAGTCAGGTAAAATAAACTGCACGTGAAGCAGGCTGGTAATGCAGGGGCCTGAAAACTGAAGCTTTATAAATATCTCACTGGAAAAGGTAAGGATGGATGTGGCACAGCCCGCAGGGGACAGTGAAGCTGACCATGATGCAGCATCAGTGTAAAGTGAGTTTTGGGCTAGAGGCTGGCCCGAGCAGCGGTGCTCTGTGTTACCTGTGACAATGGAGAAGGTGGCACTTCAGAAATTACGCAGATTTTGGAAAATGAGATTCTTTGAAAAACACCACTGCTGCAAGAGCATGGTAAATCTGTCAGAGTTTAAAACAGTGACATTACTGTATCGCTGTGATGTCTACAGACACCAGTGAGACAAGGTTTACAGGTACCAGCAACACCCTGTGTTAGACCTACTAAAAGAACTGAAAAGAAATCAGCAGAGCTTGCAGACACGCGTCTCTTCTCCAGCTCGGACACCAGCAGTGAATTGCAAACCTATAAGCAAGCTGGGAAGGATCAGTCCACCCGTGTCTCAGCCAGCTGGCACGAGACACAAGGCACGTCAGAGCAGATGGGTGTTAGCAGGGGGAAAGTGATAACGCGATTATTTCCTAGGAGAAGACAGACTGGTGACTTACTGTTTGTGAAACATTATTTCTCCGAGTCTGAAAACAGTTTTGCTCAATTTTCCCTCTCAGATCTCAAAGCACTTTGGGAAGGAGAATGACTTAAACTCACCGTTTGTGAGAAGGAATGAGTCAGTGACAGTTCGAGAACACTTTCGCAGATTTAAACCATAAAGATGGTGAGATCATTTAATCTGACCATCTGCACAATTCAGGCCACATAACGTGAAACACCCCGTCTCTCAGCCCCTGTGATACACGCGTGGTCTTGACGGCGACTCCCGGAAGGGGAAGCCGCAATTCCCCTAGTTAGTTTGTTTCTATGGTTAATCATCCTTGATATAATTTGTGTGCTAAGAATAGATTTTTTTATACCTTAGTGCCACTTCCAGCCCATGAGAGCATAGTGCTTCTTCCTTTTTTTAAAAAATAGCTATGTCTGAAGGGATCTGAATATCCCTACTAACCTGCAAAAGACAGGTAGGGTCCTAAGAAAGAAGCATTTACAGCTTTATTTTAGCACCAAACCAGTGAAGTAGCAAGAAAGGATGTAATTTAACTGCATGATGTGTGAAGGCAAAGCTTACGGATTGTCCTTGGATTTCAAACACTAATTGCTCTGCACTGAATTTAAAACAGAAGATGAAAAAAGAAAGCACACCTGGTCCACCTCCTATTGGTTCACCTGCCTTGTAGCTGACTGCAGGAGGCAGAGGGGATGCTGCAGCCTGTGAACTCGGACTCAAAAATCAAAAATCTCTGTTTAAAATGAGGGAAGGAGCTTGTCCTCTTTGCTCAAGTGACAAAGAAAACCTGCTGAGGATTGCCCAGTTGTAGGTCTTCTAAAAATCACCTTCCTGTCTAAAACGTGCACTTTTCATAACATCCTTAGAAATTTATTACATGTTCATTCTGACTTTGGATAATCTTAATTGCTGGGTGCCAGCTTCTCACTGAATTAAGTCCAATTAAAAAAGAATTATATTATGAGCAGACACATAGCATAAACCACCTGTTTTGAGGTAAGGTAATGGGGAAGGGGCTGCTGGCTAACCCAGTGGCACTGACAAGCCACCCCAAAGCCGTTTGCCAGTGTTAAGCCACAGGGAAGCAGCTGATCCATCACTCCTCAGTAGCCACCTCAGTGCCATCCACCCAGCCCTATGGCCTCGCGTCAAGGCGGGGAGCACATCCTCCTATTTCTCTCCCAGATGATGGACTCCACATGGACAAGGCAACCCCCTGATGCGGTCAGTTAGTAAAACGGCGATGTCAGCATCATCTGCCAAGCAGAGCGAAAGTCAACAGGACCGAACAGAGCCTCCAGCAAAACCCTGCCTTCAGCTGGGCAGTAACACCATGCTTTTGGCTTTCAGAAGATCCTTTGCCACATGCTGCTTTTGAGCCACAAGCTTCATCAGATACCCTCGCGCAACGAGGGAAGGGGGAACAGCCCGGCCAATGGAGCGGAGACCTGCCTGGAAGAGTGGAAGAGGGAGGCGAGATGAGCCGGAGAGAAAGCAGCTACAGCTCCTCTGATTCGGAGGGCTTGGCAGGCAGAGAAAGTCTGGCTACGACCCGGGTCAGAGCCCTGTTTTCAGCCAGCAGTTGCTCATTCATCTGCCTCAGAGTGTGAATCTGTTTGAGCTGGTGGAGATTCTGCAGAGAGTGAGAGGAGTGGACAGAAAAATACAAAGAAAACACACCACGAAGACAAAAGGGCACAGAAACGTGAATTTAGTCCACAAGCAGTAAAAGAAAAAAAGAGAATAAAAGAAAAATTAGTAGCAGTGAGTGCTGGATGGGCAGCAGCTCAGATGTGTATGGGGAAAGCCTTACAACACACAGAGGATGTTTTGGGAACCATCCCTTTCTCCAGGGGCCCCCAAAGCCTTCAAAAAGGTCAAATAAAGGGATTTCCCACCACAAAGCATGACAGTCTCTTGCAGGTTAGATCCTAGTTTACCCAGAGAGTGAGCTCCAGCAGCACACAGCACCTGGACTTAGGAACTACTGTGAGAACTATCACCATTGACTTACCACCTATGCAGGCTTTGAAAACACTGCTGGCAACGGAGAATTTCTTTAAAACTCCTTTTCTTCATGTACCTCTAAAAGCTAAAGCAGTCTTGTGTAGCAAAGAGCGATCAGAGCTTCATGGGAGACTTTAAAGGCACAGACTGAAGCGTCTGAAAGTGTTGCTGTCCTACAGCAGACCACTGAGACACATACCACATCTGCTTGCATCCCTCGTCCCTGCGGCACCTGAATGATGGCTCTTGGGTCTGCTCAGGCTTCAGTCCTGCCAAACGTTTGGGGCGTGTGTGGGTTTTTCATCCCTGCCCAGACTCAGTTCTTCTCTGTCATGGAGCTCAATTTATCTCTGATCTCCAGAGGTGAAAAGTCAGAACCTTAAACTGCTCATTTTAACTAAAGGAGTTTGAATGACAGCATCTTACACAGGAGACATGTGAAAACATGGCATTCTTGGTCACAAAAGAAAAAAGTGGGCAAAGGACGGTGTAGAAATCAAGCCCCAAAGCTGGGGCTAGCACAGGTATAGCAGCAATGGGGAGATACAGAACATAAAAGCAACAAGGAAGGCAAAATGGGAAAATGGTAAAAGCCAGGCAGACATCACCATTTCTACAAGGATGACATTTTTCCCAGTGATGCTGAAGCGAAACCATGTGCTGGACATTTATACCAAATGTGGGTGCCAGGACATGCTGAGGGCTGCAGAGCTGCTTTCTGAGCAGCATCCCGTTCCTCCTTCCTTCCAACAGCTTGTCGGGCAGCAGGGCCACGTGAACAAGAAACCCTCCTCCGTGGTGGAGGGAGCAGACACTGGGCAGGGGAAGGCACGAAGGGAAACATCTGCGATAAGAGTATTTTTAAGTTCAAGTGAAAAAATCCCAGCTGAGGACCAAAGCAGCTCCACAGACCAACGTGCTCCTCCCTGTGCCCTCTTAATTGTGAGCTTGCAATGGCAGGGAGGAGATGGAGGGAAGATTCTACTGGGATGGGGATTCCTTTCTGCCATTTAATTAGCAGAAAGCACTCAAAGGGAGGTCTCTGTCTGTCCTTAACCAGCAGCAGCATGGAAAACCTACTGTGATACAAAGAACTTGCATGAACTTCCACCCAACTTGCATGACATGGAGCTGGCTGCAGTTGGCAAGGAACCTGCTGCATCCCAGGACATTTTGTCCAAGGGCTCACTCCTGTATAAAAGAGAAGTACTTCATGTAGCCCCCATCCACTGGCTCGATTCCTAACTACTCAAAAGCACTATCTCTGCTCCCCATTAAGGAATCAAGATACCTAGTCCAAAAGCCTTGCAAACACAATGGAAGCAAGGCAGGTGAGTGCAGGGAGCCAGCAAAAGATGGGGTTTGAGGCCCTCGAGAGCATCAAACAGACAAAGCAGCTCCTGCTACTTGGACTATGCCAACACAGTTCTGACACTGGATAAATCAACAGGTCCTGGGACAGAGCTACGGCCAACAAACTGCAGGAGAGCTTCAGGGACAACTCAGCAGCGAGATCCCCTCTCACCAAATCTCAGCCATTTATCCATCACTTAACCTGCCCAAGCTGTGCCGGCTCCCCCTATGCTCAGCGAGAACACAGATGGACATCACATGTCTGTCCTGTGATAAATCACACCCAGCAGCCGCTGGAGGATGGTTCATACTGGAAGACTCATTACTTTTGGTGGTACCATGGATAACAAACATCTGTTTTATCACAGGGAACACAGCTGAGCATGTGGCTGGCAGAAAACACGAAACATATGTAAAATGGGGCGCCGTGCTACGCGAGACAGAAAGGATTGTGATCGTTTGAGACCACCTTTATTTTTCCATACCAATATAGCACAAAACCTCAGCATGGCACCATCAGACACAGCTCAGCCTCAGCATGCTGTCACAGACGATAAAAAGGATCACTTATGGAAAAATGTGTGTGTGCTGCAGGTAGGACAGCCTTCTATTTATCCAAGAAACCTAGCAAAGGCTGGGAAGCTGGGACTGAAGCCAAGGGCAACGATCAGAATCTGGATGATACCGCTGTGATTGCTTATCACTCTGCTTGATACTTGGCTTACCGAAAGCAGGTTTCTCAGTTCAGCTGTACCTGCCTTCAATTAAAGGATTTTGTGCCTGCAACACTAGGGGAAATAAAAATGCCCAAAGCATGCACAATGTACAAAGCCAGGAGGTGCAGTGCTGCTACGGAAAAAAGAAGCTTCTGTGACCTTCAAGAAAAATTGCTGTGTTAAGTTGGAACCTCAGGCACTTGGCATTGAATTCAGCTCAGTGCAAATGCTAATTTTCTTTCTCCTTCCTCAGCCAAGTTGCTGTATCTCCAGTCAAATTCTGCAGTCACTTGGGAAAATGCTGCACCACTCTGTCAACCTTCACAAGAGCAAGTCTGCAGGAGCAGCTCGGGCATCAAGGAGTTCTTGAGATTATGGAGTTTGTCCCACTCCTCTCAATTTCTTGATTGCTTCGTTAGCAGGGGTTAAACTCATGAAAGGAGCAAAGCTCATTACCTCAAGAATAGCCTGAAGTACAAAGCATTTCTGCCACAGAAACCCAGGACCGTCCTGCAACCTTCCTAAGTCAGCTGCAAGAAGAGGAAAGCCCTGGCCAGGACATCTGACGCACAGAACTGGACACGGACACCCTAGGATTCAAAAGCTTGATGACAGCCATGCTGGACTGGTTCAATTCAAAGACCAGTGGGAAGAATCCCAAAACCCACAGTATTACCTGAGACCTAATAACCTGGCATGTTTGGTTGTTTCCCCTTGCTGTTCTCCATGCTAAAGGAAACTGGCGGATTTGCTTAAGTCGCTTATTCTTTCTGCTTGACAGCTATTCAGCTAGTGCAAGAAGCAGGAAAGAAAGTCTAACCAGAACTAATAGATTTGTTTTCCTGGCTCAACTTCCACACTAGGGATTAACGCAGATGCTCTGTGGAGGTTATCTCATTTTAGGCAAAGACAACCGGGCTGACTCTCCCGCTTTAAGGCACGATGAAAGTGGACATGAAAGTCTGCTTTCCTTATGGACATGTCCAGTTCAACGTTTTTACCTTCAGAGATTTTATACTCCTTTTTATTGAGTAGTTGTTGAAAAAGACATGTCACAGCACACAGAGGTACTCACCATATGCTCGAGTTTTTGCAAAAACTAGTGGAAACATACTAGCACCCTAGAAGAGGTATTTTCAAATTTCTTGTCTATTTATTCTACTAACAAAATGCCGCTTTGGTTGTTCAATGCAGCAAGAACACAGCAGAGAGAAAAGAATAAGCACCGCTCTCGAGGACCTGATAGCTCATTTTCAGTTAGACCACAGGCTCCTTTAGCTCACGTCTCCAGCATGTCTCTCAGGACAACATAAGAACATGTCAAACTTCTAGTGCTTCTCCTTTTGCACCATCTTGGCTTCCATCAGTCTGCAGCTCCAGACTACCTGAATCAGAGGTGCTTTGGCTGTGTCCAACAGTTCCTACAGGCACCTTCTTTCATTAATTGCTTTCTGAACCAATATAAATGTTTCAAAACCAACAGGCCACTAGAGGACACCAATTTGTCTTTTACTCTATGGACTGAGCCGGTTTGGAGAGTGATCTGCATAACTGAAAAACCAACACAAACTGCTACTGTCTGCATTTTCTCTTGAAGGCTGTATTTCTGTAATTACAGGAAGGTCTCTCTGGAGTTAAAGGCTGATACCTGTTCAGTGAACAAACAATTTGGAATTTAGGCATATTCAGTCCTTTCTCCTTCCCCTTCTGGCCAGCACATCCACACTTATTTTCTCCTCTGCCAGAGAACAAGAGAGCCTTTACAGTAAGACTCCACCAAATCATTCTGCTACTTATTGCAGTAGAAGATGCAGCACAAGCCAATAGGTCCTTTCAAAGATGTGTGCTCCGTAAATATATGAAGCTTCAAATAGAAACATAAAGTTGGAACCTCCTCCAGCGTGGCAGGAAATCGTTTCTATCAGCGCACCGTGCTGGGAGAGCTCAGAGCTCTCAGATTGGGTCCTTCCTTCTTAAAGTAGCGTCATCCCACCTGGCTCAAAGGGAATGAAAGTGCAGGGCACAGAGCAAAAGGGGGCATTCTGTGAATACGAGCATTAAAATATAGTGTAAAATGATGTAACGCTGCAAAATCAGTGTGAAGATTTAGGTGTACTTAGGTGGCAAAACACACTGCTTCCTGCTCTGCAATGCTCCCTGCTAGGCCCATGCTCACAGGGCATCCAAGCCACGGCAGGAGGAGAACCATCCTTTGAAGCAATGCCACGAGAGAGAGGAAAACGCGAAGGAGCAGTCGGTGGCGGATGTCTCGTGACAGTAAGCCATGCTGCATATTTCATCAGGATGCAAATTCCTCTTTGCTGAAATCTACTGCAGGCTGACTTACTGACACAGCGTTCCAGTAACATGCTTTAGGAAAGGAGTACAGAAATACAAACACTGTGTTTTTTCCTGGCTAGTGTGCATGATCTCAAAAGCCAGCTTTGTCTTCTTACCCATCTGGAGAGAACCACAACGGCTTAACTTGGGCTGCAGACTATTCAGAGCACAGAGGATCAGCACACTGAAACTCATCGATGCCACAAAAGGTTAGTTTTGGAAAGCATTTAAGGAGAACAGCTTTCACAGTTCTCAGACCAAACAACATAACAAATTAAACATATGGTGCAATTTGATGAATGATAATAGGACAGTTTTATTAGTATTTCATGTTTGGAGAACATGGCCATTAAAGTAAGTTCTGGCTGCATAAAGGAACACGCGGAGAGGTAACACAAGTCCCTTCCCATGTACACCTTTAATATCCTACTCCTGGGTGACAATCCCCAAAGACATTAATGTAAAGCATAAAAAGCAGAATAGACAGAGTGAATAGATTATTTCCTACCTTCATCTCCTCTTCCATTTCAGACAGTTTCCGCTCCAGGGCTCGCCTCTCCTGTTTACAAGGATTCATAACAAAGATGGTCACAAGGATTTAGAAGAAAAACTTACAGTACATTTTCTTTTAAGGAAAAATAAGAGTCTTGTATTTCTGTAGGAGCATTCACTGAAAGGCATCTCAAAGCAATGCACAGGTTACAACCAGGAGCTGATCAGATGGGACAGGGCAGCTGGTAAACCAGCAGGCAATATGTGCTGGGCCCATTTCCGCAGATCCTGAGGTCTCTTCACACTCCTTCAATGAAACTAACCCCCACCTTTAGTGATCCCAGTTTTCAGGACTTTCTGATGTAATGTGATTTTGAGCTCTGTAGGTGAAGCCATGGATTTAACTGCACCCCACTAAAGGAGGCAATGACAAAACTCAAATAAGAAACAGTGAACAGGGAAAGGTGCCTGGAAATTCTGCTTCTCCAAGATTTAGGGCTTCAAAGCCGTAAAGCTGACTGCTTTCAGTATATTTTGGACTTCTACAGAGGTAGGTCTGCCATGTGAGTACTAGTGGTGCCCTCAGTGGACAGCTAGTACCCTTGCCTTGCCCTTTAGGGAGACGTCTGGACACCACCAATGACTTTTTCAACATGAGAGGGCTCAAACCGCCCCAGGAAAGTGCACTGAGCAGGAGAAAACAGCAAACATGGGTCAGGAACAGGCTTTACACTCTCTGCCCCGCTCCTTTGCCCTCTCCAAAGAAATATGAGGCCAAGAGAGTGCGGAAAACACAGCTTTTGAGTGTGGCCGTGGATGATAGGTTCTGGGTCACTTTTTTTTTTGTCCACAGCACACTTTATCCAGGGATTCATGAGTGCAAAATGAGTAAGCCATCCTGGAAGCAGTTAATGCCATTTTCACTGAGAACAGTTGGGTGCTTTTTTCCTCTCTAACTCTCAGAAACCTGTATTTGTGGCTATCATGATCCTAATTCAACAAAAGCAATGCAGGACATTGCCCCAGCTTGGAAGCATCACACGGGTGGGAGATGGGATGCGTGGTGTGAGCTCCCTCTGGTTGGGGATATCCACTCAGGGCAAGTGCTCTGACCACCACATTCTCTTTCTTTTCCAAAAGAAAAGCTCCACTTGTGTCATGACTTCCCCCTACAGTTATGTTCAGATGACAGTGATGGTTGCATGTTTGATAACCCCACTCAGCCTGCTTTAAGCACACCTAGAAATCAGGCCCACACGGATTGCTGCTTTGAGAATCTCAGTCTCGGGGTGCAGAGATGCTCAGCTGAGCTTACATGGCAGTGCCATGGCCTGAGCATCAACTCAGCTTCAGCAACCTGGGTAACTTCAACAGTCAAAGCCTGGCACCTGCGCCAGTAGGTATATCACACACTTGTACTAAGGGCTGATGTGCTCTGCCTAACTGTCCAAAGTGGGGATCCTGAACATCACCTCCTCCAGACTATATCTGGCAAATCCTGGGAGGTGTTTACACATAAATAATTAAGGTCTTTCATGGTAGGAATTAAATTTAAACACATGGTTCAACCATCCAGCAAAGCTCCTAAAAATTCAGGAGATGAAACACTTTAGGAGGAACCTCCACTTCAGGCAACCTCCAGCATGTAAGTGGACGTTACTGAGAAACTGGAGTCAGGCTCCAGCTCTAGTTAAGCACTGAGGTACATGGTGGGAGAATGAGTAGTAAAGGCCAACAGCTGAAGCAGGGGAGGTTCTGACAAGATAGAAGGAAAGAAAAAAAATCACTATGAGGATAGTTAGGAACTGGACAAAGGGGCTGCAGCTGTGGAAACTCAGAGGTCTTCATGAAATGATGGGACAAAGCCATGACTAACCTGGCTGACTCTGCTGGGATGCACTACAGATCTACTTGTGTCCCTTCCAATCTGACCAAAGCTATGGTCACTTAAGGCAGAGATTCAGCTAGACACTGCCTGTTCAGCTTAGCTTACTGCAATGAATCTGACTGTTCAGTTAAGAGGAAGGAGCATTCGAACATTCAGATTTCAAGTATAATGACAAGATAGACACCCAGCTAGTGTTTTGCCTTGTTCTCCCCACCACCCCAAAACAGTCTTTATTTATAAGGATCAAGAATATGTTAAAGCATAATGGACCAACAGTCTCTTAGCACGATACAATACAATTCGTCGGTCTGCAGTTTCCTGTAATAAAAGAAGGAAATCAGAACTAAGCTGATTTGCAAAGAGAGCAGAAAAATCTCAGATGCTGAAAAGGTCAGGATACAATTATCACTGTGCACTGCTCCACAAGGCAAAAATATAACTTATCTTTTAATTAACACTTTCCTTCAAGAAATTACTATGCCCTGCAGAGCAACACGAGGCAAAGATTGCAACTCAGAAGAAAGCAGAGACACATACCCTTTTCTCCATCTCCAGCATGCTGGACCGGTCAGAAGTTTTCTCCTGTTTCTGCTATTATGTAAATTAAAAATAGAAAGCTATTAAAACTGAGACACATTCACAAGGTGCTGCACAAAGGCCTAGATAGCCTACAGATGCACTTGCCCAGAGAAGAAGCAGTCTTTACAGAATCACTCACAGTTATTTCTGTGAAAAGTAAGTTTCCCCTATAGCACCTTCCCGCCCAAGAGCTAAATCCTTTCCCATGCTGGAACATGCACTGGCTTGTCATGGGCCACTGCTCAGTTTCTCTAGTCTAGGAGCTGGTTTTTGCCTTACCTGGGTTGCTTTTTCCAACTTTGATTTGATGTCAGCCAGCTCAAGCTGGGCTTCTTGCAGTTTTGACTTCAGCTTTTGGTTTTCAGACAGGGCACTTTCATATAACTGAAATATGAAATAAAAGATTTAAATTAACCAGGCTGCTCTTTGGCTGCTGCACAGACCCAGTTCTGCCGCGCTACTGAGCAGACGCGTGTCCTCAGCACTGAGCAGAGGCAGCTGTGCGGTTTGCTTTGCTCCCCCCATGTCAGGATATTAGAAGAGGGGCAAACAGAACTAGTCTGGATGCTTCACCTGCATTTTCATAATTCACATGAAATAAGAAAACAGCTGTTTAATTTTGTAGGGTGTTTAAACACAGCCAAGGGGCAAAGAAAAGGGATGCTTTTAATTTAGGTAAACTACCAAGCATAATAAAGTACTAAGTTATGTAGGCTGGATGTATCTGAACCTGTGATTCTGTTGTGCTCCCCAACACAACACACCCTAGTTGCTCTTGTGTGCTTTTAGTTTGACGAGGAGGAGAAAGAAGGACAATTTTAGGCCACTCCAAAATGGATTTTTGCCCTTCACTTCCTTCAAACAAGCAGAATTTCCATCCCTCTAAGAGGACAAAGTGGGCATACTGCCTGCCTCTTCTGGCCAGGCATGTTCATGAAGAAGAGTAGGGTGCTGCTTACTGTGCAAGGCTTTTCAGCATTACAGTAATTTCAGAATCAAGGCCATCTTAATCTGTTTACTTTTCATATGGTCTTTGCATTGATACTAGATATGCATGGCAATCCATATTACTGCCTTTCAAGGATTACGCTGAAAGTTTCAGAGATTATAGAAAAAATAAGTCTGGACTGTTGTATCAGCAAAAAATTCTGTGGGGATATGCATGCTTCAGCCATGGTGGCATACTCAACAGTATCTTTCCTTGCTCCTTTCAAATTCCTCCCAGCATTCCTCCAGCCTGACTCCTCAATCCCCCTCCCCCCAGATAACTGACTTTGCATGGTGTCCTTTCACCCCTTGTCTTTTTTTGACCCTCTGAAGGGCTGATGCATTTGAAAAAGGCTGGTGTGATGCCCAAAAGCAATGGAAACAGGGAAAATGAAAATAACCTTTTTCTCTTTCTTTCCAAAGACTCTCAGTGCAGGTTTCTGCAGCAACAGGCAGCTCCTAAGGTACATGCAGTGACAATAATACATTTACAAAAATCCTACTTTTTTATAGTCCCTGTTACTCTCCTCTTCTGCTCTGCTGCTGAGGGCAGCTAACCGGTTCTCCCTCCGGGTGTAGGCACTGGAGCGGCTGGAGGCACGATCACTGTAGGAGGAGTCACTGGTGGTAGGGTTCGTAGCTGCTTCCAACCTAAAACACAATGAAGGTCTAGCACCGTGGAGCCGCTGTTACTTCGGGACAGCCAGTATGAGCCCGACCAGTCGGGACTTGAGGCCGTGGCAGAGCACAGGTGCTGGGATGGCTGAAAGCACCCTCCACCCCGCAGGAGGGCATTGCTGCTGAAGGCCAGGCAGCCATCATCATTTTAAAAACTGGAAAAAATCCAGTGGGTATCAGCCCAGACCCCAAATGGGCAGTAACTTCCCATGGACCTCTCATCTCCATGGTGGGAATGGGCTCCATTTCTAATAGGGCACAGAGGGTTTTTCTTCTCTGCAGAGTAGCTTTTCAATAATTTGAGAAGCAAAGGATGAAAGCAAAGTGGCTCAACACTTGAGCTAGGGTAGGAACCAAATGGCCAGTACTAGCTTCAGATTATGCTGTTAATTTGAAGGACAGGGAATCCCCAAAGCCATACAAAAACATGCTGTTGATAAACATTAAATATAAAAAATGTCAAAGAATAAAATTCTTACCTGGAAAGTCTTTCATGCTGAAGGAAAAAAAAAGAAAGAAAAAGGGAATTAATAATGAGGAGAATTAAAGGTTCAATTCAAGAACTGTAGAGCTACCACGCAGCAGCAATTTCCTACCCCTAATACCAGCACCTAGCTCACAAGCTAAACAGCACTGCTTTCCATACCTAAACTGGGAATCACCAATCCCTGCCTGAATCTTTTCAACTCCTTCAGCTTCTCTGAAGTATTTCAGATTTAATTTCTTTTGCTAACCTAAACCCTACTGAACCTTGTTCTTCAAATCCTTGTTTCCAGAATTGAAATCCATTCCTTCGAACCAAAACTAATCTATCGTTTCCCTTTTTAAATTCAGTTATTCTTCCTGACTTTGATCACTGTCCTATGCGTGATGTGGGTGAGAAGTATTAATGGACCATGACACACAGAGCTCGCTGCGTATTTGTGTTGAACTTCAGGAAACCACAAACCGTACTTTTTCTCCATGGGCAAGTACTTCCCCCATGAAGAAAAGCTTCATTGTGGCAAGATGATACACAGTAGAAGCTGCACAAGGAAAGGAGATAAGCCTTACGCCAGCAAAAAGAGCAGATATGTTGTTTGAAGTGTGTGTTAGGTTCTTTCCCATCAACATCCAAATCACCCCTGTGCTGTCCTCAACCCTGCCTTTGCTGCAGCCCACAATTGCAGAAATCAAATGGTAATGGCATAGGTGTCCTGCAGGATACACCGCACTCACCTGCCACCTCCTTCTCCGCAAGGTTTCTCTTTGTCTGGCAGACATTTACTTAAATTCAAGGTGCAGTCAAACTCTTTTTCAGTTCCTTGAAATGGAAATTATGCCCAATATTCCCCTACTAGTTTTATTAGCAGCATCATTTCTCTGAGTAAGCACAAACCACCTGCAGGCGCTACCAGCTATTTCCCTAGATCCTTTTTAGTAAGTGCAAGAGTCAACATGAGAAGGACATTACAGAGAAGACAAGGGGTCAGGCTTTTAGTGCCCAGACATGCTTGTGCTGGAGTTTGTGCTGCTGAGATAGACCACTAAATCTTGTGCTAAACGCCTTGCTGGGTGGCAGATTTGCTGCCTGTCCAGCACGCCAGTGTTTGAAGACTTCAGACCTCCTGCTCCTCCCTGGCACCCAGACAATACCTCTGATTACTGGGCAGGTATCTGGGAGCACACACACTGCAGACAGCTGAATTAAGTCACCCCATTACATGGAGAAGGAGGGTAGATAAGTGACCCGCAATCTCTCCACTCAAAGCCTGAGGCCCACAGAGTCAAGTCCCAGAGCAGCACGGACTGTGCCCAGCCTGTCTGCAACGTGCCCTTTGCCTATCAGATGTATTACGTACACCTAGTTTTTAAGTTTTTAATTCAGCCTCCCCTAATGTAACCCTCATCTTGAACCCTGATTCAAGACAGGAGCCTCCCCAAGGAATCTGCAATCTCCGCTTGCTCTGCAACACAGCAACTCCGACGTGAAATGCAGTGATTTGACCAGTAAACAAGAAACAAACTGAAGAATCCTGGCACATTTGAAGACTTGTGGATGGACAACACCTTCAGCCAAAGCTGCTAAATGCAAAGCTCAAAAGGACGAGTAAGCCCTGCTATTAATTAGCACGTTCTCCCTAGAGTTGTGCCTGCAGGGCAACCCTCAGACAGGCTTCTGGGACAGGTCTGGGTGCCAGCCCCATGCTGTAAAGATGGTCACCAACGCTCCAGGAGCCCATCCCGGTGCTGGCATGGGTCCTGAGCCATGGAAGCAGGTTCAGCCCTTTATTATTTTATTTGCTTTAACCCCCTCTTCATGAATCAAAAGCTTTCTTTGCATCATGCAGGTGAGAAACAAGGGACACAAGAGATGGCTTTCCACCATAGCTAAGCCCTGCTGCACTTCCATAAGTGATGTTGGATGCTGTCTGAGAAGCTTCTCATGGGGCCAAACACACAGTAGCTGCCTGCTGTTGTCACAGGGACATCTGCCTGCTTGTCCAGACAGCCCTGGCTTGGGCCACTCTCTGTACAAAGCTCAAAGCCAGTAAGTTGGGAAACAGTTTCCGTGTGGCTGGCCTCTGCCACAAGGCTATTGTTAGAAAGATTTCCCATTTTCAGCTGCAAACATGCTGGCTGATGTCTCCATGGTCTTTTGTTAGCTGAGCTTCTGACATTTGCCTCAGCTGCCTGACAGCTCCCTTTTAATTTTGGCCCAATGACCCAATCTCCCTTACTGAGCAGGAGAGGGGAATTAGGAAGTGATTAACAAGCCTCTTGGTAAAAGTTATTTGTGCACTTTATGCTAATCCCCTTCAGTGACGACTTTTCTTATGATGACAAATGGCTAGGCAAGTAATCCACTTAATATCAAGCTTGCATTTATTTCAACAAACACACCTGCTAATGTATTTGAACAGCGCTGAGGAAGTCCACATGTAGCTGGGCAAGGCAACGTGGAAACCAAGCCACAAAATCTGAGCAGGTCCCCAAGCCAGCCTGTGCACTTGCAGCAAGAGGGAAAAATAATTTTTGTCTCTTTTTTTTTCCTCCAAAGACACTAATAATTTCCATAGACAGAGAGAGAAGGGGTGTGCTTCTGCAAAGGAAAGGTGGGATAAGAAAGGAATCACTTTAAACATAGCTGCTAGGAACAGCAAAGGGGAAAGCCCCTATGTTTATTGTATTTAAAACCTTCCTGTGATGGATACTGAGATGAATTGTTTCAGACTGCAATTGTCTCTATGTCTCTAAAGAGAAGAAAAGAACTAGATGAGATGAGAGGACCTGCACCATTCCTGCCGCTGCTACCAGCATTAGAGCAGAGCAATCCTGCAGTGACCTGCAGCCACCCAAAGCATGCAGCAGCTCCGGGAGTTCTCCGGCCAAAATCTGCATATTTCTTAGCACTCAGTGATTTCTCCTCCTGTGACTTTATCTCCCTTTAGGCTCATTTAAAGTACATCTCTGCCATAAAACGACTCCAGTGTCTTGCAGAAACAGCATGCAGCTACAGGAAATCTTTGTGTTTGCAGCTGTTGGGAAAGCCGGCATCTTTCCCTCACCCTTCAATTTTCAGGTGCCTCCCTCCATGTTCCTTCAGCTAAAAGTGGTATTTTTGAGACAAAGATGATTACATTTGAAAGGAACTGGATAAAGGCTGAGGTCTGGAAAGCAGAGCCTGAATGAAATGTTACAGCAGCTGTTGGAAGTGTCCCTGCCACAATGAAAGTTGCAGACCAGTTTTCATCAGCAGATCCTTCTTCCACTTGCTGTTATCTTCAGGGAAGGAGAGAAGATTTATTTAATTTTGTTTTAAATCAGTTTCTGGCTAAATATTTTCATGGGTTTTACACAAAGGCCAGTGTTTATGCTGATATTTCAAGGAGCAGCTTATTCATGTGTGGTTTTTTTGTTGGTTTTTTTTTTTTTTTTAAAATAATGATGGAGGAGGGGGAAAAAAATCCTGAATAAAAAAGTTCCACTTTGCACCTTCAAAAAAAGGCTCTAACTAAAAGAGGTGATATGGAAAGCAGCAGTTCTTAGCACAAAGAGAGGCTTTGAAGCCCAAGGAAGTGAGTTAAAACAACAACTAAAATCTCATACTCCTGGGAGGTGGCTGTGCAGCGCAGGAGGTATCTGAGAGGGGAAGCGTGAGCCCTACATGCAAACACTGGACTAGGCGCTTAACTGAGACATCCCTGCTATTTGCTCAAAGACAGACAAACATTTTCAGAGGCCATTAGGATATCACATTGGAGAAATATTTTCAGTAGAAAACAGCTTCTTTCTGCCTCAGTTCTGCCCTGCATTTGGCCATAGCACCCTTGGAAACCCTTGCCACATGTTTCCAGCTGCACCTGCACCATCAGCTCAGCAACTGCCTCTCCTTTACTTACTGCCCCTTCTTTAAAAAAACCACAAAAATACTCATTTAAACTTTTGCAGCGTTAGCTGGCTCACTGAGCTGCGTATGTAAGTAATGAAGAAGGTTCTGCTTGAAAATGCCATCCCAGAGCTGAAAACTCCAAGGTCAGAGTCAGAAGGTGAAGGACAAAACTCTCCCTCCTTCATTTCTGGAAAGAGAAGTTGGGTACAAACAGAGGGAAACAAGAGCTGAGGCACCAAATATACACTTGACTAAGCTGGTGCAAGAAATGGCTTTCCCTTCCTGATTTTTTCTTAAATGAATACTGTGCAATCTGTTAAGTTTATAACAGGATGCTGAGAAACTGCTGTATCAACTGTACGAATGCATTGGGTTTTTTTTCTTCCCCTGGCAAATTTGGAACAGCGCTGTCAGTTTTGCCCAGACTTCTTCATTTCCCTTGGGATCAAAAGTTTGACTAGAAACATTAACAACCAGGGAAGCATCGGGTTGTGAAATTATCCTTCCTACAATCTAAACAGGGTCATACCACTGCAGGGTTTGGGGCGGGGGGAGGAGGACCCCAGGGAAAAGTGAGGCTCTGGAAGTGGCTGTCCTGATTCAGAAACCAGCACGGCAGCCAGCACTGAGCCAAGACCCCAGCACTCCTGCTCAAGAGCACTGAGATACCCAAGGGGATTACTTTTAAATGAAAACTTAAAAGCACAGAGCACTTGCAGGTGTGCTTGCAAGTTTTTGGTAATCATCAACTCGTAGACCTCTCACCCGAGAGATCACATCACCTTTCCTCCCATCCATCTCACAGTGGGCAGCACATTCAGGTAGTGCTCGGGGTGGTGGAGGACAGCAGGGTTCAGCTATTCTTGCCAGCCCTCGTGGACAGGGTTAGAGACAATTCAACCCAGGTGAGCTGGCAAAACACAGGACATCTGAGATGGGACCCAAGAAAAAGCGCAAGAGCATCATACTGGACTGATCCTCCCTGTGCAAGCTTCTTTCTTCTGAGCTCCCCAGTTCTTACCGTGCTGACATTGGCCAATCCCAAGGAAAAGGCACAGCTAGGTACTGGCTGTGGCTTTACTTGCCCAGACCGCCAGGATGCTGCACAGTGCCAGCAATGCCAT